TACGTAGATTAATAATAAAGAGGCGGAATTTAATATTACAGTAAAAATAAATTAACATTCAAATAAGATTATTAAATTATGAACTTATTTTTAGTTACATTTCAGACTATATGTGCTAGGCAATATCCAAAACTAGAATTAGTTCATGGCAATGGATATCTTAGTCCAATTAACTAAGACTTTAAATCGAAATTTTGTCAGCTTGGCTGAATTTTTGATATGAGTTAGTTTAAGGTATATTATAACAATAAGTGAGAGTAATTTTTTGTTCAACCCCCGGCCAAGGGTGGATAAAGATAAAACTAAGGGCTTTTTCAAGATAACTCAAAAAGGGTAAGAGCTAGAGTTTTAAAGTTGTAAAGCAGACAATTCTACATAAAAATGGTCTCTTAGCTTTTTCTTGTACTATTAAAATTAACAGAGTTAGGGAGACTAGAAGTTAAGGGAAGATTTCAGAAATTTAATTTTGTTAAATCATTAAAATTAATGATTAAAAATTTGATTTTTTGTTATAACTTTCTTATTAAAAATTAAAAAATATATCTATTTCTCTGAAAAGAAAAGTTACATATTTTAGAGCAGATTGAAAAAAAAAATTACAAAATTCAATCATTTTTCTGTTTGTTATGATTTTTTTTAAATTTCTGAAATCTTCCCTTAACTTCTAGCCTCCCTAACTCTGTTAATTGTAATAGTACAAGAAAAAGTTAAGAGGCCATTTTTATGTAGAATTGTCTGCTTTACAACTTTCATGAAAAACTTTTTTTTCTAGCTCTTACCCTTTTTGTTATCTTGAAAAAGCCCTTTGTTTTATCTTTTTCCACCCTTGGCCGGGGGTTGAACAAAAAATTACTCTCACTTATTGTTATAATATACCTTAAACTAACTCATATCAAAAATTCAACCAAGTTGGCAAAATTTCGATTTAAAGGCTTAGTTAATTGGACTAATCTATTTAATCCAAATAAATATTTTTTTTCAGTGTAGAGAAAAAATTTTATGGTTTTATGATTAAATTTCCTTAAACTTAGGCCTGTATCATCTGCGTTAGGGCATAATATGAATGCATCCCGTTAATAGTAATTCGTATTAATTCGTATTTATCTTTACCCTGCAATTAGGACTTAACTACCCCGTTGGCAACCCCGATTCCATCATTTTACGGCTTGGCGATATATAGCCGCGTAAATTCGGTTATTAAATAGTCGCGTCTCCGTGTAGGTTACATATTATTCGGCGATTTGTAAGGATTTATATATGGCAGCGCACAAAGCCGAATACAGTCGGTATTTAAACAATAACTCGGCATATCAGCCCCGAGCGCAGGGCTGTAATAAACACACTCGAAGCTCCTAATTAGCATACTTGCTATCTTAAATAATGGCCTGTATTAAGAAACGCTTAAATAATCTGAGAACAACCAGGTGGGTGCCAAGTTTATTCGCTAAATGCCTCTATTCTTCATCCTAAACTTTCCCCAGTTAACTCTTTTACGCTACAGGGTGTACAACGGAAGGAAAGTAAATTGTTTTGCTTTGGATTCAATATAGCACCTCACTGCGACTGTTTAATTTGTATTTAGCATTTTGTTTGCAACTTTTCCAAACTTATTATGGAAAAAATTAAGACAAAACATTCATAGTTCTGAACTGTAAATACTCTTTTGAACGTTTGAAAAATTTTAAAAAGTTAAGACCGCTAGTTTTGGCGGAGGATAATAAATAAGTTTATCACTAGCGCCTCCGGCAAAATATCGAAATTATTCATAAAAACAAATATTGTAGTCGTTTTTGATATCAATTGAAACCGCATAAAAACATTTAACTCATAAATTCTACGAAATCCACAGGCGTCCAGAAAAAATTTGTCCTGTCTCGTCTAGAAATACTATATTCCGAGCTATATTCCTATTTAGTTGACAATATTCTCTAATTTTTTGTAAATAATCTTCCCAAAGTGCAACTATACGTCGTGATTCCATAATTACCAGATTGTCAAGTTTTTTATGTTTAAATCGCTTCATTTATCTCGAATCATGTTTAAAGCAGGAACTTTATTTTCTTTATACATAGAAATTGTGCGCCGTATTACATCTGGTAAACTCGTCAATATCCTTTAATTTTGTATTTTTCCGTTTCTTCTTTGTACCGTGATTAATAACGTCTACTTCTTTAATTAAGCGATAAATTGTCATTTTTGATATCTTAGTTAATTCGCTGATTCGTTTCCTAATTTCTTTATCACATTGTTCACTATGTTCTCTTTTCAAACATTCATATATATTTAAAATAATACGTTGACTTGGCACGTGTAAATCTTTGTTTTTAAACTCTGAGTTTGTTTCGACGCTTTGGATAAAAACCGGCTCGACTATTAGGGGATTTTCCCGGGTTATTTCATTATCTTCCGTTTCAAAGGGTCTCCAGAAAGCCATGCTAAATTACTAGATAGTTACATATAATATTTATTTTAATAACTATTACCCTTTACTGGTTACGATATGAACAAATATTAATATGAACTAATAATTCATAATACGTATTATACCAACAATAAATAAACCGCGCCAAGCATTGCTCTTCGCGGCACTGACAAAGCCAAGTTAACCGCGTTTGACACCAAACTAATTATAGAATACCATGCAAAAAATTATTTACGACCTAGTGGACCAATACAGGTTTGCTTTGACGACCAACGCGCCGCCGTCGATTCTACATCAGGCGGACTGGTCTCCAATACCGAACTCGCCCAATGACTATTCGAGTATAAATTACGAGACACATCGTGGCTAAAGCATACGAAGAAATTTCAAGAGAAGTGCAGACGGTCCTGTGCTTTATGATTCACAGGTTCCAATTGATATCGTAAAGGTAAAGCAAAGAGATAATGTTTAGCCATTTTTAGCCACTGTCAGCAATGCAACACTGTTAATACAAGGTGTTCTACAAGCTTTTAATATACCGTCCATCAAAATTAAATTTTTCCAAATTATCCTGAACTGAGAACAGGCTAATTAGATTCGTAGTAGCCATTAACGAGTAGCACCTTGTAGATTTCAGGTTTCCTAGAACCCGCGAGTTCCCTTTCCACTGTGGAACTGGCGTCTCTACCTCTCTCTTTATAAGCCTTAACAGATTTACATAAGATTATTTGAAACAGACAGCCAACCCTTAACTTTAAACCTACTTTAATAAGTGGAGGGTGTTTTAGTCAGAAACTTATCTCAACTTTTACATATTTGATTGGGGTGTGAGGATTTCATAAGTATTTTAATCACTTTATACCGATCGCATTGTGCTGATAAATTAAGTGCTTTTCGGGGTAATTTGCATCGATAATGGTACTTTTACAGGTTAATGTATTATAAGTATGTGACCCAAATAAGGCCTACTTTAATTTTAATCGCTGTTATCTTATTGAACGCAATGTTTGGAAAAACAAAATACAGGGTGTCAGTTATGTAAAAGTGAGATAAATACACGGATTTGTGTCGAGTAAAATGCAATTTTAAAATCTGACTTACATCAACATTGCAAGGAACCACCTTTTGTGAACTGCTGATTTTCATAGAAGATGTTCGATGTATCTACCATTTGCTTGCACACAAGCTTCAGCGCGACGTATCCAATTCGCTCGCACGCGTTGCAACATTGCCATTCTTTCGAATTACAAGCTGTCACGAACTTCCGTGAAATATATAACACTTTTCACATATCCCCACAAGTATAAGGGGGGAGCATCTAACTAGTTTGCCACCGCCTATCCAGCGATCGGGAAAAGTAATGTTTAGAAAGTCGCGCACTTTCCGAAAAGAGTGAGCGGCGGCTCCGTCATGCAGTAACCACATATTTTATGGCACGTCTTCTTCTTGCATGTTCCTGAAGCAACCATTCGCAAAAGCCTCGACGTACCTAGTGGAAAATCCTCAGGAGTAAGCGCTTGAACACGTTGAATATGGAATGAGTACAACTGAGCATGTCGTAATGTCCCCCACATAACAGAAAGCGAAATATTTACTTGCTGTGCGATATTTCTGGTGCTACGATGTGGATCTTCTTCGACGAGATCTAAAATCATCTCCCCGACATTTAAGATTCTTAGTGGTCGCCCTGGGACACCGTCACGACCTCGACGTGGTTGTACTTCACCGGTGTCCAAAACTCTTTGGGCTACAGCAACAAATGTTCGCGGTGTGGGGGCACATCGTTCAGGATATTGATTGATCTGTGAGCATTTTCGTTTGCTTCGCCATAAATTATAAGCATATCATAATATTCGCGATTGCTAAATAAATGCACCATTTTCAAAAGAAAACTTGGAAATATGGCTATTAAATGTACTCTCGAAAAACAGTACAGCAATCACTATAATAATGTATTACAAACTGACTCTCGAATACAGTCCGGCTTCATAAGAAACCTACAAACTGGTAAAAAGTGTTACAGAATTTTTCGTAAGTACTCGCCACGATAAAATACATGTTTTTCAGTAGTTCCAAAACAGTTTTAAACATATTTTTAATTAGCTTTTTTTTTCTATGACCTTAAACTTCAAATACAAGTTTGTGACATTAGTTAATTCAATTTTTGCTCCTTTTTCACCCTTTATTTTTACAACTTTGCACAAAATTATTATTTTTTTATCTTTGTACCTGCAGGTGCTGCTGCTTTGATAATAAATCGATATGATGGGTAATAAAATTTTGGACAATTTTTTTAAGACTTGGATAACTTAATTCATAGACATTTAAATTAAATTAATGTTTATGTTACCATATAACAAAACTCGTAAGGAAAATAACACGCTTCTGGAAAAAACAAAAATTGGCTCATTTCCTCATTATATCAAAAAATGATTTCAGAAAATCAAAAATATCTTAAAATAATGAAAATTTTCCCTTTACTTTATTAAAATTAAAATATATGACCTTGAAAAGTTACCCATATTTATTAAACAATTGACATTAAATGAGATAATAATATATCAAATTATTACAAACTTTAGTCCTGAAGAAGGTGCGAGGTAACCATTTCCCCAGTCAAAGCAATATAGCAGAATGCCCCGTCGTCAGGCATTGGTTGATTGGTCAGGAATTCATTGGCCTCAATCCCCGTTGGATCAGTTATGGGTTTATTTTCAGCCGCAGCTTTTGCTGCTTCTGCCAAAGGCACTAGTGTCTTCCAGCTAGGCAACTCGGCGAACGGTCCTACTGATCTAAGATCTTGAAGATAACTGTTAAAAAATTGTACAATTAAAGACCAGATATAGTGAATATTATGCCACCTTAGACAAATTAAATAAAAGTGTATAACATCAACCACCATACGGTTATAGAGTCAAATATATTAAGACATACCCCAACAAAGCCATCATATAATCGTTTCGAATAGCTTTCATGCTAGAACAAGACTCCTTTCCGTGTATTGAACATAACATTTGCAACCATGATGCTACTCTTGTCCTGTCGTTCCCATTTTTCAATAAATACGCGTAAGGTTTGGCTATGTAGAGGTACAACTGGAACTCTTGGTCAAGGATCTAAAAAAATGGTCAGAAAAATATTGATCAATATACATAAAAGAATGTTTCGAACTCTTCGTCAAAAAATTACAAAGAAAATTCCCCACTTCTACCTTGTAGCCAATGTTATTTTAAACCCATGGCGTCCAAAAATAATTCCAGAAATTTCTCGGAAATTGCCCTAGAAGAAATTATTACACCCGAAATATTTGTAAGATGACTGAACTTGATCAAAAAATTTGATTCCAGTGCTTCACAAGATATCCACTTAATGTTATGGTATGGAATAACTGTTCCGTAATGTTCACTCTGTTGCTTACCTTATCCAAATTTTTGTCCGCCTTGCATTCCGCTGATGTTGCGTGAACAGAGCATTCCAACATCTTAAAGTCATCCGGCAGACCTACTAGAGTGTCCTGCCACGTGGTATCTATCTCCCAATCGGCCGCAGGAACCGGTGCCGTATGCAGAGATTTCAAATCTGGAATAGCTCCATCTGGTGGTATCGAACGGAAAACACCTACGGCTTCATCTAGTAGCAAGGAAGTTGACAGGAAAGCTAAATACCTAAAATAATGATTATTTATTTAGTTAAAATTAAGTTGGTTAAAGTTAACTGTACTTTAGTTAAATTGTGAGGTAGATATCATGAAAATGAACTAAAGCGAAGATGACATGTTGTCCATAGAAGCTTACTATTTTTTTGTGACAAAAAATTGTATTGCATCTTATTTGTTACAACACTGTAACTAAGTACGTGCTTCCAACGGCTTCCAAATGTTGACCTACGTAGTAGAGAGAAAAGATGAAGTTAGCAGTTGATATGAAATATAAATATAAGATATTTAGATGATTTATTCATTTATAAAGTTAAATTGTGATATAGACATTATGATGTTGCTGATGATTGACGATTGATGATGATCTATTAGGTAAGATTAACTGAGATCTCAGGTAAATAAATCACGACTTATGATGCTATTTTATCATATAAATATCATAAACATTACCAACCTGTTCCTTTTCCCCCTCAATTTAGAACTATGGTATTCTGGCCTGAATAATTTCCTTATCCATGGTGTTATCGTTTTTCTATCTGACTCTGAGGTTATCGTTGGTCCAAGGACTCTCAGAACGGCAGTGTAATATAAAAATTCTGCATGTAAAGGATCTGGCGTGCCCCTAGAAATACATTTCTTTAAATTTGGCTGCACAAAAATACTAAAAATGTTTTATTTTTTTCTTAATATGAACACTACTATATTTTGTATCTAAGTGTATCTATCTTTACTACATTTGAGTCAAACGAAGTATGCAATAAAAACAGGTTTTTGTTAAAAATGCCCTAATTACCAATTTATATTCTATAGGAAGAAAAATGCGATCACATAAAGTTCTCCCTAGACTCTTTTTGATAAATATTTATTTTTCAGTCAGTTATCTCAGACTGCGTTTTTAGAGATTTGACCATCGTGTTTCATTCTACCGGAATTAGAGTACCTACTATCTCTTTTTGCTGTACTGTAATTTGTTACTTACTTTGAAGTTGTTGCCGTTGGAGAAGGTGGGATAGGCGTAGGGGTACCTGTTGCCGCAGGAGGTGGGGTAGGCGTAGGGGTACCTGCTGGTTCAGGAGGTGGGGTAGGCGTAGGGGAAGCTGCTGGCTCAGGAGGTGGGGTAGGCGTAGGGGAAGCTGCTGGCTCAGGAGGTGGGGTAGGCGTGGGGTCAGGTGCCGCCTCTTCTGCTGGCTCAGAAGGTGCAGTAGGATCAGGTTCTTCGGCCATTTTGAGTTCTATTAATAATTTTGATAAAAGGGCCTAAATAATAAATTTATACTAGTACTTCGAATTTAATATGTCATTCTTTCGTGATTTGAAATGTCCTAACTTGATTTAAAATGTTTCTGATGATCTGATAAATCAATGTCATTACTTGTCATGGTAAACTAATGACAGAATGTCAGTTAAACTATAATGTACAGGGTGAATCATAATGATCTTTTTATTACGATTTACTTTTGTAGTATCAAAATATTTGAATTGGAAAAATGCAGACATGGGTGAACATGTAGATAGGAATCAGAATATGGGATCAGAAAAACAATTGAACATCAAATTAAGAACATAGCCGAAAAACTGTTAAAAAAACATAATGTATTTTTTGACGAATGTGTTAAAAGATCACATGACAAACCCTTAATTAATAGTATGTCATTTGTGTACGACTTTCGGTTCGATGGAAAGTTAGTATCTTTAAAACTTATTTTTTTATTAACCTTGTATATTTAGGTTGCATTGGATAGAATTTTTTATTACGAATCCAAAGATGTATTTGTCATAATTTTATCATTTTATAAGCAAATAGTTGAAGAAATAATAGTTATTTATTGTATAATTGTTTTAAGTAGAATTATATCCGCGAGAACGTGGTTTGAGCGTTTAATATTCTCAAGTGGATAAAAGGCAATTGAAACACGAATGCAATACAACGTTTCATCCATAATCACATAACAATCATATTTGTGGAATCGAAATTATTGGAATTTAATAAAAAAATATTCGCACGGCTTGATATTTCTTACTTGTACCTACTCAATGAAACATGGAAGGTTTTGTTATAACTACTGGTTGATTTGGTACGTTGTTTATTATCAATTATTTAATAAACAGTTCTATCTGAATTTGGTAAAAATGCAAGAAAATAATTGTGTTCCTGTGGCTGTTTTTGAAGAAGCTCAAGAAGCAATTTTCCATTTATTAGCAGCGAAATCCAGGGAACATTTTGAAAAAGTGTTCGCCAAATTTAACGAATGGAGGGAGAAACAGAGAGCAATGACAATAAATGAAGAAGTCATGTTATCGTATTTTTTAAATTTGAAGAAAAAGTTATGCAATTTCATCTATATATGTGGTCGAAATATTCCATGTTGAAGGCTACTATAAATGTCTACAAAAATATAGATATTAAAAAATATTACAAATTTACTGCTTATTTGAAGACTGAATAGAGAGGATACAAAGCAAAAAAACCGCAGTATTGAAGAATTTTTTACTGGGGTTTCCGATAAAGTAGGTATATTTAATGATTAAAAAAAAGAAATATTACCAGCGAATACCTACTATATTTTCTTAAAGAGTCAAAATTAATTAATAGAATCCTAATTCATGTAAATTTTTATTTTGTTTTTATTTTATTTGTTTTTTGTTTTTGTTTTCTTTTTTGTTTTTATTTATTTTTATTTTTATCGAAAATCGCCCTCTAAAAGCATTTCAGTCTAGTGTAGGGACACTCTGTATATGATATTATTAATGTTATGAGTACATTCTTCATTTTCCAAAAACATGCTCAAAGCTTATCCTCGTTATTCTGGAAGAAGATAAATCGGATTTTGTTTTATTACAACTTAAACTTAGAAGCAAAAGGTCCTGAAAACGTCTATAACTTGTGCCCCAGTATTTTTACATCACTGTGAAATCCTCTTTCCACAAATACCAGGCTTGAAACCAAAAAAACCTAATCAATTATCAACACATCGCTCCCGATGGTTCTTTGAGTAGCCGATAAAGTAGGTGATTAAGTATTTAAACGCAGTAAGTGTTAGATCGAGTCGACAGTATTGTGGAAAACCGAACATGTCAATCAGGACCCATTCATGCCCAGCCATAACAATGGCCGTATCAAACTACCACAATGGACGTTCACAAAAAATTCATTCTAATTTGGAACTGGGAGGATTGCCCACTTCTGTCATGCACATTTCCATCAATTAAATATTTAATTCAGCTTCGGATCTGTCCGCATCTATCCCCTTCAGGTGGTGTCTAGATAAGACGAATTAAGTATTGCAATGTCTATACATAAATATTACATTTAAGTAATAATATAACACATTACTACACATTTGATTAATTATACCGGCCAACAAAAAAAAAGTTATATGAGGCATATGATTTCCTGTGTATTTTTGTTTCCTGAGCACGAATCCATAATCTGTTTTGCTCTATCGCCCTTCAGTTTTCTGTAAATCGCTGAATACTTATAGAAAATCGCTAAAAATCTTCAGCAAAATGAAAAAATTTAGGAGGTGACGAGATCTTAACACGTGACACATGTTTTTCGATGTAATTTTACCTCCTGGGTCCGAATCCGTTGTCAGATTTACTCCATAACCCTCTAGTATTCGCAAAATCGCAGAAGATCTTCAGAAAAAAACGAAATTTGAGAAGTGACTAGATCTTGACATGCGGCATATGTTTTCGGACGTATTATTATCCTCTGATCTGAATCCAATGTCAGATTTGCTCCATCACCGTCTAGTCTTCAAAAAAATCGATGAAGATCTAAAAGATCTTCATATATGACTCATGGTTTTCGATGTATTTTCGTCTTCTGTTAATTAAATCATTGCCCTCCAATCTTCAGTAAAGTATGAAAGTGAATGAGGATAAGAATAAGAATAAGGATTAGCACATTTATGTCATTTGTATCTTCTTTCGGATGGCCGTTGATATTTCCGGCGTTCCACTACCCCATAAAACCCTGAATATCTGGGTTCTATGGACTATCCGGGAATGTTTGTGTTCACAAGTCTGCTTTGAGGGTTGCTCCAAAGCATTTCATACGTATTCTATTCAGCATCCTCTTGTAGCCTAGCAAGCCGTCACTTCTCAAATTTAGCCCTTTTTCTGAAGATCTTCAGCGATTTTCCGAATACTAGAGGGTTATGGAGTAATTCTGACATCGGATTCGGATCCAGGAGGTAAAATTACGTCGAAAAACATGTGTCACGTGTTAAGACCTCGTCACTTCCTAAATTTCTCCATTTTACTGAAGATTTTTCGCGATTTTCTGAAGGTATTCAGCAATTTACGGAAAACTGGACTGAAGGGTGATGGAGCAAAACAGACTATGGATTCGTGCTCAGGAGACAAAAATACACAGGAAATCATATGCCGCATATGTTCACATACCTTTTTTTTGTTGTCCGTTGTTTTTTGTTAGGTTTAGGTTATATACATGTAGATATATGTATTATTATATTACATGTGTTCCATCCCTATCCCAATTTTGGAAACATGCAAAAGCAGTTCCACTTGTGTTTTGAAGTCTAAAAACAAAGTGTAATACTTCATGAAAACGGGAACTTCTTGTAGAATTCGAATTTTAAGAAAAATATAGGTACAGGGTATCATTTAAAATAAAAAAGTTACAGTCGTTTCTGGTTAAAACGGAAGTAAAAGAATTGTAAAATTAGGCTCAATTTACAGAAGTTTAGGTGTATATTCAGATGCCCCAAATTTCAAACTTATGGTTTTTTAAGTAATGAAGATATGCCATTGGAACAATACAACTGAGATACCTGGTATATACAGTGTGTCCCCGGATGGACCTAACTGTAGCTACCTTGTAATTTTCCTTATTTCGCATTTTAAACGAAAAAGGTAAACGTGAATTTGTGCCAACAGTAAAGTAAGTTGCACAATCATCCTTTTCTCATTCGATTAAAATTTGTTGAATACTACTTCAAAATGGGACAACATGTACACTCTTTTTCCCATCGAACTTTCTTGGCATTTATTGTGATTACTGTAGGTAATGAATATTATTAATAGATTAATTTGCTTCGCCCTGTATTTAAGCCGTCTTTTGGTCACGTTTGAGTAATGGAATACTATTATTTAATAACATATTTATTTATTACCGTCTGTATTATGGTTTTTCTGTATAATAAAAGTATTAATATGTAATACTGCCCGTGTGGCTACAAGAAACTTCTACGAGATCAATATCTGGCGGCATAAAAGAAAAATATATAAAAAGCAATACTTCCACGGTTCGTATTTATGACTCGATGAAAAGCCACCCAGTTATCATCTTTTCAGAACATAAAGTTGGTTCGGAATAAGTAGAATCGTCGAAATGTAGTATCGATGCGATGTTAAGAATGTTAACACGGCGTTGATGCTGAATACAAATACATATTTTAGAGCAAACGGCCATGTTTTGGTGGATAAATCGGCGCTCTGCTCCATTGAACACCGACGTCGTATTTAAATGTAACTATCACATCACACACGGCTGACTTGATCCTGCGAATCACGGAATAAGGGATGGAATTTGAATAAAAGTGCACTTCCTCCGATTTACACTGTAAGAATGCCGCTATAACTTGCCTGTGCGTATTTTGAATAGCCAAGATTCCATTTCGACAAATAGCGCCGCTAAGGGACAATGCACTAGATTTGTTAAAGAAAGGGACTAAAACTGTCCAGAATGTTTTAAGATACCTACTATTTATTGAAATGATATGTGCGTAAGATACAAAACTTGTCCTTTCCACAACTTTTTTGACAGTTTAATCTCGATAAAACGAATTTTATTGCGTAAAAAATATTTTCGCCACTAGAGAGGAAAGTGAGCATATTAAATTTATTATTTCCTTAATTAAAAACAACAGTTTATTACCACAAACCTGAAAATGTTTAAATAAAAGTTCAAATAAAATAGCAATTTCACTTACAAATGTCATCGTCAATAAAGGGATGTCTGAAAAAATACAAGTGTTAGTTTGAAAGCGATTAAACAAGAATTAGTAGTTCTCGTTTTGAATTATGTTGAATTTTCACGAGTACAAAAATTTGCTACCCAGATTAAATGCTTTTTTTTTCATTCGTAAACTTACCCTAACTCGACATTAACACGATTGAAATATTCCTACCATATCTTCAGCGTTATGTTTAAAATCAACTACATTATTCATTTCATCTAGTTCTGTATCTGAAATTAGTCATGCATGTTATGTACTATTTCTATGTCGAAAAAGATTACTTTTTCTTTATATAAACGAAT